TAGGGAACAACAGTGCTTCACAGTACGTTAAATACTGTTGTAAAATTGGGGGCTTTTTTAGTGACCTCAGGATGTATTTTAAAAAATAAATCATTCTATGGCATTCTTTAACCTGTTTCCTTCAGAACCGCCCTTTTGCTACATCAGCATATGGCTATTAAGTACAATTGGGATTCAGTGACTTGTACATCAGTTTTGATTCTTTCATTAGTGACACACAACATAAAAATAATCTCACTTCTTCGCATTAACTTTTGATAACCAAACACATAAATAATCCAGAGACAATCAAAGACTTGACTTCAGAAAATTTCTCTAGGAAATAGCATAGAAGCTGATACAGTCCCTACTTCAAGAACCATTTCTGCATTCTACATTGTCATTGAATAAGATGCATAAAGAACAATAATGGGAAGAGTAGAACTTCTGACTCTTGTCATCTACACTAAAAGTGTTCAGTATATTTTCTTTTCACTTTTAAGTATATTTTCCTTTCACAAACAGAAAAACAAAATTAAAAACACGTTTACCTTGTTCATCTTCATACAAGTACCAAAATCTGCTAGTTTTAAATGACCAGCTTTATCTAGCAGCATATTATCAGGCTTCACATCTCTGAAAGGAGAAAAATACATTTGTTTAAAAGTAAATAAATCAATTTAACTTATGAAAACAATAATAGTCAACTATTTTTCAGATGTAACGTTGCAAGGAAAAACACCAACATGAAAGCACCACTATTTCCTCCATTTTATTCTGCCTTCTTTAAGTATCATGTCCAACACATAGACTGCTGAACTACATAATTTTAAAAAAATATAATGGATATGGGAATATAGTCTTAAATCACCAAATTCAACAAATCTAGACATTAACGTTCAACCTCAAGTTCCTGAAAAGCACTAGCTGGTTGAAGTACCTCTCCGCTAAGATCAGCTACAGAAAAAAATCCATTCTGGTTCTGAGTTAGTTATCTCAAACAGACCTTGCAAACATAGCGGCTTCTCTGTTTTTAGAGAAAACTTCTATTTTAAGGGAACAAATGGATGTCATTTTTAGAATTATATTAATGTGAACAAATATTTTTCCATGGCTCAAAAGGAGTATTGCCTTATGCCCTTTTCCACAAAGTACTTCCGTTATATAAAAGAAGTTTTCATAAAGTAACTGGTAAAGTTCAGCACATCTAATGTTTTTAAATATACTGAAGCAGAATAATAGTAGGAAACAATTATCAAGAAAGCACAACATGAATTTCAGGAGAAAGTATATTTCTGGGATCTCAAAGAGCTCTGGCCATAACTGTGAAATAAAGTGCAGTGGAAATGTATCAGTATACTCACAGAATAATTTTGGTTGGGAGGGATTTTTGTAGGACCCCTGGTTCATCTGCCTGATCAAAGTACAGCTAACAAAGTTAGATTTAACTTCAAAGTTGTATTAGGTTCCTCAGGGTCAAATCCAGTCAAGTTTTGAATTTTTTTCAAGCATGGAGATTCCACAACCTCTCTAGGACTCTCTTCACTGTTTGACCACTCTAATAGTGAAAAAATATTTCCTAATGAATAGGTAGATATTCCCTTGCTGCAACTTGTGTCATCCATTGCCTTTCATCATTTTGGTCTGCAACTTTAAGTGTGGCTCCACCTTTTCTATAAAGTCCTGCTGGGCAGCTGATGACTGATGCTGTCTCACCTGAACACTGTTCAGGTTGTGAATGAAAACATAGTGCTGATCACAGTACTAATCCTCTGAGGAATCAATTGCTGGTAGCTGTTGGCTGAACATTGCAATACTGAGCACAACCCGTTGTTCTGCCTATTCAAACTGTATCTTTCCAATCTGGCTATATCAAAAATATTGCTAAAGTCAAGACAAACAACACACACTGCTCTCCCCTCATCAGTGCAGCCCATCATCTCATCACAGAAGGCAATTGGGTTGGTAAGGCATGCTTTACTCTTGGTAAATCCATGCAGGCTGTTCCCTATCACCTTCCCATCCATGTGCTTGGAAATGCTTTCCTGAGAATTTACTCTGTAAGCTTCCCAAAGACTGCCCTTAGGGTGATCAGCCTGCAGTTCCCCTGGCCCTCCCTTCCTTTCCCTTCTAGGGGCAAGATGGGTGTGCCATTTGCTTCCTTCCAGTCATCAGGAATCTCCCAATGGCTGCCACCTTTCAAAGGTGACAGAAAGCAGTATGATTAGGATACTGGCCAGCTCCCTTATGACCCTTGGTGTATTGCACTGGGTGCCTTGGACACGCGTACATCCAGTTTGCATAACTGGGACTCAGCTTGATCTTCCTCTGCCACAGTAATGCTTCACTCTCCCAAGCTCTGCCACTAGACAGAGGGATCTGAGAGGCCTGAAAGCAGACCTTATCAACGAAGCCTGAGGCAAAGGCAGCAGCCTCAGCTGTTTCCATGTCCTTTGTCATTGTCATAAGGTCCCTGTTCCATTAAGCAGTGGGCCCACATTTTCATCAGTTTCCTTTCATTCCTCAGATTTGAATAGGCTAAGTCCAGTGAAAAATTCTAAATATCTGCTGCTGTCAAGGTAATCTAAATTTTCAGGAAAAAAAACTTGCTGCTGACAACTTCTAATGCTTGCTTTCTGCAATACACACGTACAAATGGTTCATTTCAGTCAGATAATTTATCCATTAGATGTAGCATAGCTGCATAATTAATGATGCTCTAGATCCTACTCAAGCAATGGATCAGTACTTTGTTTTGCTTTGCTTTTGCTTCTTTGCAAGAGCTTACGTGCTAACACTGATCTTCTGGCCAAATTACAAGTTGAGAATTTATATACTATGTCTTCCTCAAACTCTTCCTGTATTTTCTGTTGGAAAAATTATTCTTCTGCTCCCAGTTAATACAATTGAAAGTTAACAACAGATAAAAGTTCAAATATCAAAAAGAAAACTTCTCAACCTGAGAAGTGACTACATTTCACTTTAGGGCAATTACATAATAGGAAACTAAGCTAAGTCCCTTTGCTCTGCATCTCAATTTTCCATTTTGCCCCTTACAAGAAAACATGTGGCTGGGAGATTTTCCTCATATTGTTCACAGATTCTTGTTTAATGGGTCACTGATGCCAACTGAGGCTTCAAATGCAGAGCAGAGAGTTAATAATTCCTAACAGTGCCTGCTACTGCTATCAAATTCCCAAAACAGGTTTTTCTAATAAAAAAAATTAAAAAAACCAAAACCAAAAACCACCACATGAACTATTTAGGGGTCAACATGTTCATACCACTTTAGTTCTTGTGTCTCTTCGTAAAGTGGGACAATTTTATTACTCCCTAAACTGAGGAACACCAGCCTGCAGAAAACCTTTACTTTGACCGTATCACTTCAGACTTGTAGTTTCTGATGGCAGGAACCTTTGAAGTTGTAAAGATGGAATAATTATGAAATAATAATGAAGAAGTAACATCCTAAGTTTTAAAACTACCTAAGCAATTACTGAAGCCATTCTGGCAGCACCAGGAATAAAACACCACTATGTAACAACATTTTTTTTCTGTTTCACCTGTGTATAAAACCCATTGAGTGAATTGCATCTAATGCAAGTACAACTTCAGCAGTATAAAATCTTGCCCATTTCTCCGGAACATCATAGTTGCTCATTAAATTCACAAGGTCCCCACCAGGCATGTACTCCATCACCATGTAGAGGTAACGGTCATCTTGGAATGCATAAAATAACTGTAAAAATCAAATAAACAAAAAACAAGTCACTGAATATTCCAGTTATCTTTAATATTTTGCTTGTTAGAAATCAAAGGAATTTTTGCACAAACCGATCTACAGAGTAACTGAATTGCTACAACTACTGCAGCAACTTTGCATCATCCAGCAGTCCTCCTAAAAAGGAATTAATCTCTAGAATAAATATCAGCCAGATCTTCTGTCCCTTGAGTCCTGGTTACGAATTAAGATTAATGAATTTGGTGCAATAAATTTTGAGATCATTTCAAAGAACACTCATTGCATAACAGAACAAAGTGCTTCCTTATTCACTGGGATGTTAGTTGACAAATATGTAAAATGAAACTATGGGTATTGCAAACATGCCCAATTATATTTGTGTTATCACTATTTATTATTCTATTGTCAATGTATTTATTATTTACAAAGTGAGCCTAAATTTTAAACAATTAGGTAAAAATATTTCCCTTACAGTTGTCAATGGTCTGTTTAACATGGGCAGTGCAAAGAGATTTAAGTTTCCTAACTGAAAACTTTTTGAAAATCATAAAAGTGCTATTCTGGACAATCACTCCCAGACAGGTAGTAATGTAGTTACCTATTTGATCTAGGTAAATCTTGAATGATTTTGTTTTATTGTAACTTAACAGAAGATTTTACATGCTTAAGGGTAAGAACAGTTTAAACAAACAAGTTAACGTGCACACACAATGCATGATGATTGCTTCAGGCACACTTCCTTACAAACTTCCAAGGCAGCAATGCCTCCCAAAAAATTGTCAGTGATAATACTGAAATGAGGAGGAAAAAAAGAAAAAAACAGAGTGGGCATAATTTGCCGTCAAATATACACATGGAAATTAGAACACACAGAAGCCGTGTCTTAAACATATCTTTCTGATATGCTAGATGCTTCAAAGAATTACTGCAGAGTAGACTCACCAACATATATCTGGTAAAGAGTTTTAATAATAAACAGAATAGCTTATCTTGTAAATGTTATGACAAAATACAGTTTTGAAACAAGTGCAATATCTGCTATTTGTTGTGTACAGCATTCCTAATGTTAATAATGTATTTCCCTAACAGACCAATATAACCAAAAAGGGAGTTTGAAAAGTTGAAAATGAAAACATGTAATTCCAAGTCGTACAGTGTCATAATGCCACTATTTTATAATGACAGTATTATAAAAGGAGTATCACTATACCTGAACAACCCAGGGACTATTAGCAAAAGCCATAATATCCCTTTCTTCCCAGAAGAATGCAGAATCTGATCTTTTTATCATCTCAAATTTGCTCAGAAGCTTCATGGCATATACTCTCCTTGAGGATTTATGCCTTACCTATGAAGACAACGTGACATACAGATCACATTAGTTTGCCACATTAACATATGAAGAATACCACTGAGTATATTACTTTTCATGCTTCACTATTTAACAAGTTTTATAAGACTCTCTCACATGTTTATAAAGAATTATATATTGTAGGTCTACAGAATAATTACATTGCATTTTCTGCCAATATATGCGTAACTCTTCAAATACTTGCTAGAACTATTCAACATAGAAGTCTACAAGCATAACAGTCCCTTTGTAATTTGTAGGTATGTGTCTTTAAAAGGACAAACATTGGCAACTGTTAAATACTATAAAGTTAAATCTAAGCATTTTCCAGAGTTCATTAGCAGGCATGCATACTTACTGCCATATTTCCAGTCTCTCCTACCAGTTCTCGATTTATTAAAGCAGGATGAACAAGCCTGGTTGTTAATCTATCACAAACAACACACAACATCTCTCATCTGTGAGAACTATGTTCACAAAACTCTGGTGTAGTCCCTGAACTGGCAGAAATTCTTCTAGTTCTGAAGATTTGTTCATGTGTCCATGTATACAGGGGAAAAGGGTAATTTTCTTGATTATGAAGAATACACATTCCACTTTAATAGAGATTCATGACTACAACGCAAAATAAGCATTTGTGCATATGGAGAGTTCCAAAATATGAGTGTCTCAAAAACATTTCCATGGCATAAAAAGAAATAAAGTTTCATTGAGATTAAGGCTGTAATATTATATACCTTCATCTTCTGAACACTGTATTCTGAAACAGACACACAAGCAAATACTACAGAATACATTCAAATGTACAGAAACATAACTTACCAACTGAACCTCCCCAAATGCCCCTCTACCAATCACCTTCACCACTTCATAATCTTCAGCTTTCATGCGCAGATCTCTCATTTTATTTACTGTGTCTTTATCTACGTAAAAGAAAATTCACATTTCATATATAATCCATTTAATTAAACCCATTCATCTCATTTCAATTTTTCACAGTTATTCCAAGATGTGCTGCTTAAAGAGGGGAATTCCTTTTGAACCTACCTTCCTATTGGAAGCCTCCCTGCAAAATGCATGACCTCATTCTCATTACCATAGTAACCAAAACCTGACAAACATAATGCAATGACTCTACCGTACAATCAAATTACTGGAGATCTTAATTTGGGAATTTGTCTTAAAATAATTACCTGGGGGGAAAAAACCCCACCTCTATGCAAAAATATCATATCCAGCATGATCTTGCTTGTAACCTGATCAGTATAAAAAGATTATTTCCAGATAAATATGCAACACATCTGAGAAAATATCATAAAGTACACAAACGAGACATTTGAAGAAACTATTTAAAAAAAGCTTTCACTTTTCTGCACTTTTATTATTCCTAATAGTAAAAAAAAGTAGATTTTAATTTAAAACATGCAGTGGGAATCATTGCAATTATTTATATAAACCTGTCATTCTATAAACTACAATAATTTACAAACTCCCAGTGGACAGATATTCTAATTCCAAATTTGGTCAAAAATTAAACCAGTCTATTTTAATCCATGTGGGTCAACACTGGCATGAGATTACATGGAAAAGCTTCATGCTTCAGTATTTCTAAAAGCAAGGAACATCTACTAAAACAGATATGCTTCTAATAAAATAAATTATGCAATGATATTTTATTTTCAAATATAATATTCGAGGCATAAAATCAAAGTTTAGAAAGAAGGACAGAAGAGAAAGGAGGGAAAATGTCATTATTTAAGTTCATATTTTTAAAAAATTATTTGGCAGACAACAGCAAATTACCATTAGATTTCTACCTATAGTGGCCATTATCTAAAACAAAAGCAGCATATGTACAATTAAAATTCAGTAAGATTTTATTACTGCAACAGGAACAAACATAGCTTTGTTTGAATAAATACTCTGTGGCATTACTATCTCATGTAAAGCCATCTCTTTACAATATGGCATGCTACTAGCTGATTTCAATAAATTATATTAAAGTTGTAAATTCTGACAAATCATTTCACACAAGAATGAAAATCATCAGTAATTTAAATAATGCATTGCCTTATTTGCCCTGGTGAAAACTGACCCATAGTGGAGGATGAGTAAGACTGCACAGAACTAAAATGCAGCAATTCTCATGACAACAATTTTCTAGTTGTTAACTTACTGCCTGGTAATCTCACAACAGAAGGTCCACCACTTCTCAATGAAAAATCTTGACATTGGTGTAAGAGAAAGCTAGGCACAATATGAATGCTTTAAATGGTTTTCAATCACAAGGCTCGCCTATAGCCAAAAAAGAATTAAGGACAACACATCTGAAGAGCAATCTAAGCTAAGGATTTTTAAATAACGTAAACCAAGCTTGTGAGCAGTGGCAAATTGCAGTTTACTGCTTGAGAGACATACTAATGTTCAATTATCTTCAGACAATATGTTACAATAACAACAGTGCTGGAAATTTGACCTCCGTATTCTAAGATCTATTAAACAAAGTTTATCAGGCTGCAACATAATTAAATAGGCAGCTCCTTCTACCAACAGTGGAGGACGCCGCCGGCTCACACTGTATGAACAGGTGGAGTAGCTCCCATGGCAAAAGACTACGTTCTCCAACTTGCCCTGAAGTTTGATTAGAAGCTTAGATGCTGTCTTGAAATAAACCAAGTCCCTGCTGCAAAGTAGGGCTCTCAACCATCTTGAATATTAATTTCTGTACTATTTTAATTCTATATGGCAGAAAATTAGTAAGGTTCTACATTTGCAAAAATAACCCTCACAACATTACATGGTAGAAGCAGATTTTGGAGGCTCCGCAAATACACAATGTAAACCAGAGAAAAATAAGAGCTGATAAAGACTGGTTCACAGGGCAATCACTCTATAAAATAAAGGAAGGAAACTCCCTTTTTATTTGCAATCTAGAAATTAATTTTAAAGTTGTAGAATAACAGTGCAAACTGTTTGGACAGCTAATACTGCAAAAACATATTTTAAATAGTTTTATATTAGAACTAAAATAAATATTAAAATGTTCCTATATGTCTACTTTTTATCTTTTTTTAAAATCAGAAATTCAAGACAACCTAGACTTCACAGTTCTCTCTAAGGCCACTACTCACTGATCCACAGTTTGCTTTCATACTTCAGCAAACACAGCAAGATTAGTGTTCTAAAGGCAGTTTGAAGTGAAATAATATGGTCACTTCTCCACACATCTTACACAGTATGTAATTTATACCTACAAGATATTAATTATCAGATTGTAAATTAAAGTTTTCTTTTCCTTCACTCAGCCCCAAATGCAAAAGTGAAGCTCTTTGAGACTCGCTAATGAATTCACTATTCATAAAAATTACATTCAAATTATCTGTTGCAATGACTATTTCCTTTGCCTAATACAACTTCTCTTTTCTCCAAGAGTTTCACCACACCTTCTCTGTAAATAACTGAGTATACAAAATGTGCATGTAACACAGTATATGATATCAAATATAGTTTGAACTGTGAAAAGTTAAACAGAACATTTGAACTTAGGCCTTTCAGCAACTAGCTTACGTGCAAGTGAGCCATCAGCTAGATCTGATGGATTCATATATTCCCACAAATGGGGAATAATGTAAAATAAACCCCACAAGTTCACTATCATTGCTTACAGTTGCACCAAGTAAACTATTTGAAAACACCTGGGAAATGGAAACAAAACCATAAATTTCAATGAAGCAACACAAAAAAATATTTTAGTCAAATTACTTCATATTTACCACAAAGGCCATTTATTACAACATTTGAGACGCTTAAGCCTGTAAAAATCTAATAACATTAGTTTAATTTCAAGGCTTGCCCATTCAGTCCACATGCAGAAGCAAGTTTCAAATCAGCAAACATCTCTGTCATGATTTCCAGAATTTGTCAGCCTTTAGAAAAGGCTTAACTCTTAAATGCCTTTTTGTTGTTTGAATTATGAAAATGATGGAGTTATGACTTCTATTTAAAAAATAATCAACTTTTTAAATTTAAAACGTTATTTAAGAGTAGAATATGCAGGAAATCTGGTAGTGGAAAAATACAGAGTAAATACAGAGAAGAATTCTGCAGACACATCAGCCACATGCACAAGTAAATACAGCAGCTACGCAGTATAAGAATTTCATGGGATAATGAAGAGAGACCTTTTATACTAAAAAAAAAAAAAGGAGTCTGCAAAACACATACCCCAGTCTGTCAGTGAACAACTTTTTTATTATTTCTTGACACTGTATACATGTTATGTCATTTTACTGTTAATTGTTTATGATCTATTAGTGCATAAAATTACAAAGCAAGTTATGGGAATCCAGAGGGTTGTCAAGAACAAAGATAACAGGCCTTTCTCTTAAAAAGCTTTGTGCCACTGAAAACAATGCCATTTACCATGCAACAAACTTGGACATTCAATTGCTGGAGATGAGATTTTTATAGGTAGCTGTCAGTTCTCACTGGGAAATAAATAATCAGACTCTTAAAATAACCTGCACCCAAAAACTTAATGCACTGCAAATCCCTAGTTGCCTTTCAAAAAGGTAGAACTGCTTTTATTTTTTATTTTTGCTGGTATTTATAGTTTTTTGTTATTTAGTAACTGAAACAATAAATACTTACACCTGTTTAAGAAGTTATCAATGTTTTTGTTTTTTCTTAAGGCAGGAAAATCCAAGTCATATACCAAAGCATCTAATCCATCCTGGAAAAAAAAAAATCCAAGCAAAATTAAATGTTTGAAAAACTAATTACACATACTGCTAATTGAAGAGACAACATAAAAACAGTTCTTCCTATCAAATTTCCATACAAATGAAATAATTCACATTTATTTAATGATTCAACTAGCAGTTACATGAAACAGCTGTTACTTCTCCACTTCCATTGGACTCTTCAAAACTTAATTTCCATCCATCTCGGAACAAATATACTTCTATGAATTATTAATTACCTTAATTAGCTCCATATTTACATGAAAAAATTATTTTTCCAACTATAAAAAAATCACAGTTCTAATGAAGTTCAGCAATATTAGAAAGTCACAATGTATCACACATTAAGTGGCAACTTAATGACAATTATGGTAATTTAATTCCAAGAGTCAACACCCACTTTTTATTCATTGAATTTAGAGGGAATTTTCATTAACGAGATATTGGCTTTATGCATTCTAACAAATCTAGGAACGCACAGCCACAAGCCCATCTGGCATTAAATACATCCCTATGAATAAAACCAAAATAAAACAAAAACCACCAAAAAACAACAGAAAATTACAATGATAACAAAGATGATGATCATTTTAAGGTCTTGTTACGTGCCATAAACTTCCTGACTTGAAGTTTAACTCTAAATTTTATAACAGCTATATGTGATTCTTCAGTGGATTGCATCTTCTCAGAGAAAAACTAAACAAGACATTTTGGTTGAAACACATGTATGGTAGCTAATGAAAAATGATCAAGTATTCTGGGGAATTATATCACAACAAAACAAGTAGCATTAGGGAGTCTTCTTTCTCAACTAGGTAATGTTTAAGTGACAACTGCAAAAACGGAGAGGAAGGTCAGAAAATACAAATTAATGGATGTTAACAAAGCAAGCCGGGGAAGTACCGCTATTTACTTGTCCAACTCCTATCTACATGCCTATGCCATCTGTTATTGATCTGTTGAGAGTGAGATATTAGACCAGATGTGTCTTTGATCTGATCAGTTCAGATCTGATTAGACCTAATTTGACTGTTTTCAGCTTTTATACAATTATGCAATACAGGATTGAAAGCTGATCCATTCATCTTTGACCACTACATCCATTAAGTAACTATGCCTGAAGAAAAGCTAGAGTATAAGTTTTCTGAAAGCTTATTTTCCAGGAATATGTATTAGAGAACACACTTGATCTAAATTAAAAAATTAGTCTTTGATCCCTCACTACAAATTCAAACCTATTTCCCCCCTTCAATCTAAAGCAGATTTTAAGCTATAAAAAAATCAAATGCTATCAAAATCAAAATTATTTATTGGTTTGCAGTCCTCATTTTTGAAGTATGTGAGATAAGAAATCATTTACTTTAGCTATAATGAGAACAAGCACTAAAATCATGCTAGAATTTGAAAACAGGGACAAGGAAGTAAAACTTCCAGGATAATCAGAATTACTTTAAAGGCTGGATGTTATTAAAGTTGTTAATGTCATAAAAACA